TCAATACTAAGACTTTCCATGAGGCTCATAGAGTGATTGGGCCAAAATTCGAATGGTGGAGGAGTTTGTGGAACAAATGGATTTCTAGAAATATTGGCGTCTTGGTTTGGAAAGTTTTGCATAATGCTATTATAGTGGATTTCAATGTCCAATCATGTGGAGTCTCATTTGCTTTAAAATGTCAACTGCTATAGCGAGTGCACGAGAAGAGACAAGGGACCATTTATTTCTATTTAGTAAAGTCATAACACAACTTTTGAGCTTTTTTGGTGGAATTCTTGTCATAACTCAAGGTACTATTTCGGTTAGGAGCTTGCTTTCTTCTTGGCTAACCAAAGGTAAAATACTCTCCCAAAAAGCTTTTACACGTATGGTTGTTTTTAATTCTATTATTTGGAAGATATGGATATGCAAAAACAAATCTATGTTTAATGATGATAAAATGAATGTGACTCAAATTAAACACAAAGTGTTGAACTAGATTAGTGAACAAACCATGTTGTTTGCCCCTAAGTCTCAAGCATCATTCCATGACGGTTTATGTTTCGAAGTTTAAGAGTTTAAGTACAAACATCACTTCCTGTAAAAGGCGAGATGGATCAAATGGCATCCTCCTCCTTTAGGATTACTAAAAATGAATACCGATGGTGCCTCTAGAGGTAACTTGTGTAGCGATGGAGAGGGGTATAGTACATGATGAGCATGGTAATATGGTTATGGCCTTCTCCAAATGTTTTGGCCTTAAATTAAATAATAAAAGAGAAGTTTTAGCGAGTGTTGGAAGGTATTAAACTTTGCAAGGAGTATAACTTATGCCCTAAGATCATAGAGGCTAAATTCTCACTAGTTTTAAGGGGTTTATCTCACTCTAATGGTGTCTCTTGCACTTGAAAAATATTTTCGGATATTGTTTGGTTAATATCGGTTCGGATATGATTTTGCAATGTACTCACAGAGAGGGAATAGATCGGTGGACAAACTTATGGATTGGACTTTCTAGCATAACTCAAATGATAAACTTGGATTTTTTAACTTCCTAGCTACTTAAGGTTATAGTATCTATACATGATTTCTTTTGTCTTATTTTGTAAGGAATTATTCTTGTAATCTTTCTCGGAGGGTTAGGCATCCTTGTCCTCCCAACATGTTGGGCTAGGTCTGGTTTGTCTCCTTCTTGTACTTTTCACGTTCCTTTTATGAATTTCCAAGGTACCATCCTCGTTTCCTTAAAAAAAAATGTTCGAGTGAACACTTGTCAAGTACTATCCATTAAATTTTGGACGATTTGATCCCTTAAAGATTACATTGGAGATATTTTAAGAATATGGTGACCACGTATATATAAGTGATGTTAATGCTGCTTACGTTGCTACTCGCTATTTACGGTGGTTCCCTAGCTACTATCAAGGAAGAGGAGAAGAAGGAAGAGCTCGCTAAAGAGTCGGATGAAGACTTGGGTTTCGATCCGCTTTGACTAAGTTTTGTGTTGGTCTTTATCTAGGATTTTACCATGTTGTGGTGAATATACTTTAGCTTCTTATTAGCTCGTTGCTTGTGTTATGCTCGGATGGAGCATTTATTTTTGTTTCTTACTAGTTTATTACCCATTTTATGCTACGGAATGAATAAAAGATGCGTACTGTTATTTAAAAGATTTTTATTTGCATTCAACAAGGTGTAATTTTTTTTTGTTTTTATTTATTTATTTTTGTCCAAAAAATGGAATAAATTATTGAATTTGAAGGCCAAATAAAACTATAATGCTAAAGGTGGTTATAAAATCGACCCTATAAATTCTAAAATTTGAAGCGGTTGTAATCGTCCCAAACATTTTGCATTAAATTTTTTAAAAATCCAAAAACATAGAGATGGTTATCAACCGTTGTCAAATTGCATGCCAAAAATTTTTTTTAAAAAAAAGAGAAACAATTGGCATTATAGAGGCGGTTGTAACCGCCTCAAAAAATCAATTTGAGGCGAGTTCAAACGCCACATAATTCGGTGGTTGTAAAAATTGCCTCTACAACTAGCTTAGAGATGACGAAGTCGCAAAAGGTTTTGAGGCGAGTTCATAAAACCCCTAGACTTTGTAGAGGTGGTTATAATCGCTTTTAGAAGAGAAAAAAACCTCATCGAATGCCTTTTTTTAGTGTAGTGTTAGCACTAGAGGAAGAGTTACTAATACCTTTAAGAGTTCTTTAACGTTTAGTATAGTGCAATATTTTATATTTACTCAAGATTGGCTACGAAATTCATTGGTACAAATTAATATTAAAGAAGATTTGCAAGATATTAAGAAACTTTAATCGTGTAATTTTTTGAACTTTATCTTTTCATTTGTCATTTTTTCTACTATAATAATGTTAAGGTGTTGATTTTTTTTTTCTTATCTTATATTTTTCATATTTCAACATAAATAAATATGATAGATATGATAGATTGATGATGTTTTGGCCTTTTGAGTGACATGTGTAAGTTTTTAATCGATTGTGTTTGTGTTTGTCCATGTTAGTTTGTAAAAGTCTTCATATTGTATAGAATTGACATTTTCACTTCTCTTTGCAGGATTTGATGAACCTTCTGCTTTTGGGATTTTCTTTTACTTGACAATTGGCATTTGGCAGTGTTATACTTTAGTTTGGCAATATTGAACTTTGACAGTGTTATGCTTTAAGGTGGTAGTGTTGAACTTCGGCAGCGTTGGTTCCTGTGTGTGTGTGTATTCAGTAATCTTTGAATGGTTGCTTTTAATAAGTTGTTGAACTCTCCTAAATTTTCTTTTTGTGTCTAGCTTGGTACTGTTTGAAGTGGCTATTAAGGGCGGTTCTACTGCAGGCTGTAGTTTCCATGCAAATAAATTTTGTTTATGCATATGCTCATTTTCTTGCGCATGATTTCAGTGGTAGTTTTTTTTTTTTTTACTCAGATGCTGTGAAGCTTTCCTCCCTTTAGCAAGTCATGAGATCCTCTGATGGTGCAGTTATCCAGTGGATCTTTATCAATGTAGTTAAGAATATGGCATGCTGTTAGATAGAGATGCTATTGTTTTTTTTTTTTTTTTTTTCGCATTAAGAAGTAGGAAGGTTTTAAAAATGATTGGAGCTTCGGGACAGTGACTGAAGCCTATGTCTTAACGTAGCCTGTGAAACGAATTCAAGGACTCCATTTCACTTTTTGTTTGGTCTTCTAGATTTTCAAATCTGCAAAATGATGAGGTATTCAGTTGCAGTTACAATTGTGAAGTGAACCACTCCTTTTCATTTTGGAGAATTGTGAACTGCATAAATCATCTATGCATACTCTTGCTCTTGTAATTTTCCTCTAACATAGACAATTTCTTGGTGTAAAATGATACAGATTTTATTTTTTTTAATTCAAAATTAAAAAAAAAAATGGTTTGAACTGAATTAACCGAAAACGAAAATACCAAATAGCATTTTGGTTCGATTTCCCTTTTCTTGTTTCTGAAAGTTCAATTAACTAAAAACCCAACTGAAAAACCGTGGAAACTCCTAATTTTTTTTTTTCTAACTATACTAAAAATTAAGGCTCTGTACCATAGGCTGGTGTCATGGCTGGCACTGAAATCATATGAACTGTTTCCTAAACTTGTACATTTCAAGTCTGTGACCACAGCAGATTCCAGCTTTTTCACATGAAGACTGGCAGTGTGATATTATTGATGTTCTTGGGAAGAAAACCAACGCACAGGCTACTTAGCTCGCGTAGGCTCTGGTTATGATAGCACTCTTCAGATCTGGGATTCACTCTTCTAGTATATACAAGTACATCCTCAGAAATTTCCATCATTAGGATATCAGATCTTGGGAAACTTTCAGCCCCTTGTCAATAATCGTTCTCCTCAAAGATTATGCGCACGTAATCCACTGTGTGCTAGATGCAGTTTCAGGTGCTTGGATACTGACAGATCGTCAAGCCTGCCGAAAATCAAGAAAAAAAAAAAGGTGGTTAAACTCAATTTCTAAGAGAAAATTACAAGGCCATTTTAATGGGTCGAGAATCTTGCAATTATTCTCAAGCAGATGATCGTTACTTAGTTGCATGAAGTAGGGGATAGACTTCTCATTTCTTTTTTCTACTTTTTCTGGCTATAACAAAAATTATAAGGTCTCAAGACGAAATTTCCACGTATGATTTACAGGTAATTCGTAAGGTCTCATTGCACAAGAGGCCTCTGTCTATTTCTCTTTGCTAATGGAAGTAAATTAACAAAATAATTCGTATGGTGCCCAGTGAGCGCTATTCTGATCAACCAAATGTAAAATAAGTCCCACACTTGGAGCAGATGAAATCCTCAAGTACTCTCCAGTTTCTACTTTTTCAGTATCTGTTATCACACTCAAGAGAGATTGCACAATGAAGTTCTCATCGTTCCATTATTCGATTCAGTTTTAAATAATTTTAGTTCGATTTTTAGTTATTCGAACCTAGAAAAATAAAAATCATATCTGAATTGGATAACTATTTAGTTTTTTGGTTTAAGAACTAAAATTATGTCTTTGGTTTTTTAATTTAAACTGAAATTTTCTTTTTAATTTTTTTAAATAATATAAAAAAATCATTAATTCATCTTATATTTATAATAATATTAAAGTGTTGATGTTTAGGTTTATTTGCATTATTTTAAAATTTAAAAAAAAAATTATAAAAATCAAATTTTGATTTAAAATGAAAAAAAAATTGTGTTGAAAATCGAATTGAATTTAAGTTTTAATTCAGTTTTTTTTAATTTAAATCGAATATTGCTCAAACTTAATTTACATTACTTTGACTATTATTTGATCATATTTGCAGCCCAAATCAAAGAAAAGCATGACAGTGAGCTGAGTTTTGGACCTTATGTCACATATGAACGGAGTTGAGAGTTACACGTGTTCTTACCACATCCATTTGTGGTACAGAGGAAGAGTTCAGACAGATCTTACCCCAACAGTCAAGATGGAGACTTAAAAGTAAAACAGTTTGTCTTTACACGTGCTTCAAGTGTTCAACATGCTCTCTTCGGCAGCAATCAAATCAAAATGGTGGATCCCAAACAAGATTTTAGGAGAGGTAAGAGCATGACTAAAAATATAGTTTCAAGTTTATGTTAATGCACAATTTTATTCATATTGATTTTGGACAATAAATTTGATTACAACAAAACTCAAAGAAAATACTGATAACTTATATTTTCAAACTTCTCTTGTGATTTTGATTGTCCAATATAATAAGTCTATAAATATGACTTTTAAATTTTAGATGGGACAAGAAAACAATATTTTGGAAAAATGAGTTTTTTCTTGCTTGAAACTAATATGTTTGTTATACACATTCAAGAAAAAGAAAAATTCGAAATCAAGTACCCGATTGCGAGCAAATTTTGAGATGCAAGGATTCAGTTGAATAATTTATAAAATACAAGAACTTAAATGCATATAATACTGGAAAAAAAAATTGAAAATTCTGGGGGAGGGCTATGATGAATCAAATGCTTGAAGGTTTTGTTATCATGCAAGATGAAATGATAAAACCTAAGAAGTGATTATTCCACTTATAAAGGCATGCATCTAGGCAGTTGGTATCGACAGGAAAAGGGACCAACTATTTCCCATTTATCCAACAATGGTTGAGTAATGAACCGGAAGCATTCTTGAAAAAAAAAAAAAAAAAAATCCATATAGAGAAATAAAAAAGATATTCACAAATTAATTGAGTATCAATGATGTATCATTAGTATGGCTTCACTTTAGATAAGCACAAGCTCAACTACTCCCAAATATCTAATTCGTAAGTTTTACAGCCCACAGTCTGCAATCATTTCCTCGGTGAATGGCCTGGCCTGGCCTACTTGTGTATTATCCACTTTGGTGCCTTCGGTTGTGGGCATGCCCCACTGCACCTCACCATTACCAAAACTATCAATTACAAGAAGATTCCACTTTACTTAGAACTTAGATTTCAATGGTTGTCTATGTGCCCACAGAATTATTCTGTACTACACATTGAAGCCACTTACCAGGTGAGGTTCATATTGTACTTGGTTTCCTCTGGTCCATTCACTTTGAATAGAAGATAAGAGGAGTGGATCATCATGTCATACTTGATTTCTTGGTGAAAGTTTATTTGATATCAAGGACATGATAACATTTAGCTTATATTCTTTAGTGGTACAGGAATCTAATATAGCGAGCATCCTTGGTGAATTTATTTAAAAGAACAAAAGTTGGTTGGGCCAATCTTCCAACACCCACAGAAACCAACCACCATCAGTTTGGCCTCTAGAATATTCCCATATCCAGAAATTATCTTCTTGCCTTTTCTTTGGAACCTTCATAAAGTAATTCTTGTGTGTTAAAATACGAGATGCCTTATTCCTTGAACTTTTGCAAGAACAGAAATGCTGATCAAACTCTTTTTTGACCACCTAAACTTGATAGATCATAGATGCTTCTTTTGGTCACATGTGAGTTAAAACAAATGGAATCTGCAGTCTTCTCTCAAGTCTAATATTCTTTGTAGATGTAATAGGAATATAGATGACGTTACTTTGAATTCCCTTTGCAGCATGGAAAGGAAACCGAGCCACATTTAGATACTTTTATCATTTAAAATCCTACACTCCAGTTCGTTTGCCCAGAAACCTCTCAGCTTGAATACTCATCAACACAGCTCTCAGCTTGAATATTAATGAACACCTTGAGCCTAGATTCCCATAATTTTTTATAATGATTTTCCTGTTACAAATGAGAATAAGGAGCACCTAAAACGCACTAGGAGTTGTTAGTGTCTCTTCCGAGGATCAATTAAAACCTTTGTTTTATGACGTACTACTAGGTTGTCAGAGATCAGAAACTAACTGCATCTGTCTAAGGCATTCTTTATGTACAGATTTAATTGGCAAGAAAAGAAAACAGCAACTTCAATTGTTCTCATGGTCCACGCATCAGATTTAACATAAACGTTTCTAATAATTCCTATTCTGCTGTTCTAATTACTGATCTTTCATATATAAAAACTAACTACTCAACAACATTTATAGTTCTTCCAAATGAAACAAGATATGGTATTCCTGTAAATTTTATCTCTTTATCATCTAAAATTTCAATGAAAGAATTCGTAAATATCGCGAACAAAAGGGAAACAACTATAAGCGGGGTAGACAATGAAAAGTCTGGACTTTTACCACTACAAAACAGGCACTGATATGGACACTGACACTTCGCTGACAAAACTTGGATCCCTATTTGAAGCAGAGTTTCCACCGAATGCATATCCAGCACCTAATCCGCCAAAATGCAGGGGATAATTCTCACACCTCTGAAAAACTCTGGCAAGTGATGCTGCCTTCCTTCTCGCCCGCTTTGTGCCAGTGAACAGCAGACTCTGAAGCAAACCAGCCAATGCCGGTGCCTTGAGCACTTTCTCAGTTGCAGCTGTCCCACCACCCCGGCACAACTCAAGCAATGCTGCAACAGCATTTTCTTTTCCTCTAGGTGTTCCACAACGCATCATTCCTATCAACCCTGCCACGGCCATTTCCTCTCCCCCTACTGCCTTAGCCCCAATTGGCTGCCTCACGATCAAAGCTAATGCACCGGCAGCTTCCTCTGCAACCCCTTCGTTTCCCAAAGCCCCAACTAGTGCTGCAACAGCACCTGCTTCTATCATTCTCATACAATTTTCTGTATGAGTTGATAGATTAAATAAAGCTGTGACGGCATCCTTCTTCCCGCGTGGTGTCCCTACCCTCAACAGAACAGCTAAGGCTTCAACTGCCCCTTCCTCATCTGCTATTCTCTTCTTGTAGTCATGAACGGCAGACAGGCTAAACAATGTCGCTGCTGCATTTTCCCTTGCCTCTGTTGTGAGTCCAAACCTCAATACTTCAACAATCGATCCCAAACAACCTTTTTCATCCATAATTCGGCTTTTATTCTTATCATAAATGGATAAATTGAGCATTGCTGTTACAGAATTCTCTTGTGCGACAGAATTTGTAGAAGACAGCAGTTCACAAAGGTGGGGAATCGCACCAGCTTCTGCAATGAAAGCACGGTTTTCTTTTCCTGTTTTTGCTAGCAAACGTATCCCACGAGCAGCTACAGTCTTTGCACCTTGTGAACCATTTGCCAGCTGATGAATGAGAAGTGTTGATGTTGCTCTGTTGGCTTCAATTGCAGCTTTGGAAGGCATAGCTGCTGCAAAAGCCTCCACAGATGAATCTGTATTCTCTGGAGGGTCATAAGGGATTCCATGGGCAATACACCATTGCACGATCAGATTCCTCAAAGCCCGATTCGGTACAAGGCGAGTGTTCATGAGCATCTGGCCCGTCTTTGGGCAAGTACAGTGCCCTTCCTCCATCCACCTAGATATAGAACTCCGATCATATGTCTGCCCTGTCGAAATTATCACTGGATCTCGCATCAAATCCAACAGTATCGGACAGCAAAAATCCTTCGGTATTGTAATAAAAGTCTCTGCAATCTCTCGAGTAATCAACCCTTTTCTCAGCTTCTTCTGATTCCCAATTTTCAACTCCACCTCATTTTCCTCAAACCCATAAAGCAAAAACCTACAATACCGAGCAATTGCAACGAAACCATTAAGCACCGAAGCTGTGGGCTCAATATCTCCCTCATGATTAACAATTTGTTCCTCCAAGAACTCAATTTCTGCTCTACAACTCTTGGCATCTTTAATCCCCAAACCCTCCACAAAAAACAACCTCAACTCCGCCGGAATAGGAATCCTCCCATTCTCAAACTCATCAAGCAACGAAAAGAACCTGACCCTCAAAGCCTCCTCATCCTTATCAATAAATAACCTTGCATTTCTTGATTGTTTTTTCATAAGATCAATCTGTTCCCTAACATCCTCACTCAATTCAACATCATCTAACGGAAATACATCCAAAAGGGTAGATATTTCCTGATTCAAATCATGAAAATGCCCCGAAATCGAATGATTTTGAAGCAACAACCATAATTTACTGGATTGTGCACAATAATCAAGCAATATTTTTGAGCGATACAGCAACAAATAAAGTTCTTTAAAACAAACAATTGCGGTAGAGGATAAAGCAGAACCATCCCCAGAGTCCCTCAAATATTCCAATAAAACAACAAAGACTTCAATTTTACGAATCAAAGAACGAGAATTCTTTCTTTGAAAGAAGAGTGCCTTCCCAGAGAAACAAGACACAAGCTCCGTTGACACTGATACAAGAGTCTGTACAAGAGCCACATCGGTCAAATCAACCGGCGCCAAGAAAGCATCTAAACACGGCGATCTTCGCCGCCTTAGAGAAGAAAATATAGCAGCAGTAGCCATAAACAAACTACTAACCCCTCCTCAAAAAGGAAGGAAACTTTTTAATAAGAATTTAAGATCTTTTATTTCTTAAATTTTAAAGAAAGAAGAGATTTTGAAGTAGCACAAACCTTTGTTTTCTTTTCTTTATAAACAATCAAGATCTCTGCAACCCCAAAATCTCCACAATTTCTTGACTCATAAAACGAAAAGAGGAACAAATTGAAAAATGGGTTTTTATTGTTTCTTGTGTGTTGTTTGAATGTTCAAAGTTAAGAGAGAAAGAAGAAGATTTGGTCTTTACAAAGAGGGCGGTTTTTTAAGAGAAAGATTGATAATTCCGCGTATGGAAGAGAGAGGGAGACAGACAAGGGAAAAGAGGACTGAGTTTCCTATGACTTTGGTTTCTTTTCTTTCTTTCTCTTCGGTTTCACTTTCTTTTCTTCTTTTTTTATTTTTATTTTTCTTTTTTTAAAAAAAATTATTTTGTTTTTTGAAAAGTAAAGAAATTCAATGCAGTTTTTGTGAAAATGACTTGTATGGCTTCGACGGATAATTATCCACATTCTTGTCCATTCATTTCTTCTACTACTGCTACTAATACTATGACTACAACAAACACAGAGAGAGGAAGTCATCAATATATATATATATACACACACATATATACAGAGAGACAGAAAGAGAAATTTCATTTATGAATTCTGATCATGAAAAAAGTCTTTGTACCTACGGTTTTGGTGACTAAATGGACACCATTTTCTGTTTAATTTACAAGTTTTTTTGTACGGCCAATTGGGTTGTTTTTTTCTTTTCTTTTTCTTTTTTCTATGGAACAAATCCGTGTCAGATACTCGGATATTTCCTTTCCTTTTGTCTTTTTAAGGCAAGGTCATTAGTCACCATTAACTACTAAATTTTTCAGGTATGTAAAATGATGGTTGAGCTTAATTATCTTACACTAAGTATTAAGTTTGAATTGATATGATTTAATAGTCATATTTTGATATTGATTTAGTTTAGAAAATAATAAATTTTGTTTTGAATTGATACAAAACCTGGAGCTAAATGAGAAAATATGCTAATCTAAATACTACTTAACTTTATGTTTAAAAAAAATTATTTATTTTTTATTTATATATATTTTAAAATATTTTTCATCAAAATTGTAAAAAAAAATTACTTTTTAAAATACTTCTAATTAATATTGATTTCAGATTATATAGATTTAAATTTAATAATTAATAATTTTTTTAAAAATAGTATTTTCAGAAAGTAAGAAAAAAGATAATAGTTAATAACTTTTTTAATCCGTATCAAAATTCAAAATCCAAATAATGTTAACTATAAATATTATATTTTTAGAAAATTAACTATTGGTGTGCAAACAAAGAGAGTAGTACTATTTAAATTGTGTCTAAATCCATGATCCAATTATTATTATTATTATATATATATATATAGACACACACACTCTTTTGTGTGTATCTAAAAGCCAACTTTTGGTTTTTAATTAAGGACTTTGTGCTTTGGATTAGAATGAGATCACAATGTCAGGAGGGAGGATCTTTCAAGTGTTTTTCCTACCCTTTCATTTGTTGGATCAGTAAAAATACCTTTGGGTATATTTTTTTTTCAAGGAAAAAAATTAGGCATACATTACTGTTTTCATTGTGGAGAAAGCAAAGAAATACCAATCATGTTCAAGAAAAAGTAAATACAAAATACCACTAATTAGGAAGTAAATTGAGGAAGACCATAATACAGTAAAATTGATCGCTTTTGCTTTGCCTTTTTTTTTTTCAATGTTTTTGCGGTAACTTGAAAATAAAATTAAAGCAAGGTTGATGCAGCATTACATAGGATTTGCTTCAAGGGTTGACCAAATAAAGGTGATTAAGGTTGGCCCACGCAAGTCTTTTTGGCGCGTGGAAGTGAATAGAGTCCTTGCAAAAATGGCAAAATTTTCAACTTTGACTATAAAATGTCCAACGCACTAGTTGACCCCAAAAAGGAAAAACACCAAAACACAAAACATGATGCACAAGCACACACGCACTTCGATAATGCTCGAAAGGAAACTTTTTGTTCAGGTAACTGCCTGTGAGGGGCAAAGATAAACACCGAATTATAACACCCCAGGTCTTGATAACAACGATACGAAATATACAACTCATAAAGCTACAAACCTGTCCCAAATTTTATATTATTTGAGAATTAATATCTTAACTTTCAATTTTTATTGGACTTCTTTTAATTAATTTGCATTTAAAATTAATAATTAAATTCTCAATTTTTAATTTTAAATTATACATTTTTTTCAATTAAATTTTATTTAAAAATTGAGTTTTACTATTAAGTTCTCATCAATTATAAAATACAAGTGTAATTTCTAATACCTAAAAACACTTCAAGACGTATGGATTTTTTTTCTTTCAATATTTTTTTCTTCTCTAACTGTTAAGAAGTTAGTAATTAAAAAATATTTTAGAAAGAAAGAAATAAGTTTTGGAGGAAAAATAAATCATCCATAACTTTTGATATATTTTTAGTTACTAACAAAGTTAAAAAAAAAATCAATTGTGTGTAAGTTATATGTACTTTTATCATTAGAATTAACAAAAACCTAAAATAAGAATCTAATTTCAAATAAAAATAATAATAAAAAAAAAGATTCAATCCGAAATTAAAAATTAAAAAACTAATTCTCACAAATTTTTATAAGATATTTTATTTTAAAAAAATTGTGTAGTTTTTCTTTTTAAAAATTACCATGTTTAACTTCGTTTTATAAATGTAAGATATTTTATTTTTTTTCATGATTTTTGCATTTTAGTTAATCAAAATAAGTCATGAAAAAAAATCATATGGACCTCTATTGGAGGTTTCTTTTCAATAAAGACTGTAATGGAGAATTGAAAATTGTTTCGTACAAAAATGAAGGTGGATATGAAAATTTAAACACCTTCATAAAGACCGAGGTAGAGGATTCATCCTCTGAATCCATAAATCTCTACCATGATCTTTGTTGCTAAAGAAAAGTCGGACGTAATACTTGTCATAACAAAAAATTAGTATAACTATCATAATAAAAAAATCAATTTTGATAATGTTTTATATAAAAGGCTTATTGTAGAAAAAAATCATGATTTTTTAATTTTTTAGTCATATCAACACGTTTGTTTCAATCTTGGATAGAAAAAACATGAATTAAAGTTCCAATAACCATATTAGTACAAATAATTTTTTTCAATTTAAATTTTATTTTCAACTGACGTGACATGAGATATAAGATAACAGTAAAACATAAATCTCACACATGATTTCACATGGTTTAGCATTAAAATTTTTGTAGTTCTTCTTTTTATTGTAGCAAAAACCTAGGAGAGAGAAGCAATCGACAACCGCTCTTCTTTCCTAAATTTTCATTTAGTCAATCTCACCGTCGTCCCTCACAAAACCACTAGCCAAAGTCTCTTGCCATCATCCACCCTCTCTTCACCAAAGCTAAACCCCCACCCCCCCCCCCCCCCCCCCCAAAAAAAAATTCTATCCAACCATAGCTACCGTTCGTAACCATTGAACAACAGTTATGACTGGCAACCCTAACCTACTCTCCCTCGCCACTCTAAAGCCCAAGCGTTAGTCGCCATTCACCCCACAATCCAATCGTCGTCACTTTTCTAACAGGAACCCTAGCACCACAAAACCCTTCCAACCATAGTTGTCATCTTTTGTTTTAACCAGCTGTCGATCTTCTCTCTACCACAATTGCAGATTGTCACTCCAATGAACTCTATAGTTGTGAACAACTCTCCCTCTCCACCAAAGCCTTGAACCACTTTTCCAACAATCCCACAATCGTCAATCACTAATAGCTGCAACCCCCACAACAACTACTACTCCACAGTCATGGCCCCTCCTAATTCTTATGTTTTAATGTTTGATTGACGTGTAGTTCGTTTTGAGAATAAATTTATTATATATATAGAATTCTTCGTGACATTTATGTTTTACTGTTATTTTATTTCTCATGTCACGTAAGTTAAAAACGAAATTTAAATTGAAAAAATTTACTTATGCTGATATGGTTATCGAAAAATTAGTTCTTGTTTTTTCTATTCAATATTAAAAAAAAAAACATGCTAATATAATTAAAAATATAAATATTGTGATTTTTTTGATAAAATAACCTTATAAAGATATAAACAAGTTCAATTATTCACGTAATAAAAATTCAGTCCGGAATTGAGTTACTGAGATATCAATTAAAAAAAATGCGCCATTGATGACGCAACGCATTCTTATTAATGTTTATGATACTGCAACCGACTTTGAATAAAACAGCAATACAAACCAAAATTTAATGCAGCGATCTCTAGAGAGAGATTGGATCCATCCACCAGCCGTTTGGGGCCACGGTGCAGAGCCCCTTCGTGATGATTAATGAAGCAGCAGCAGCCGTTTGTTGAAGCTTTGGTCTTAAAAGTCTATTTCAGTTAGGCATTGCGTGGAAATTACTATACCTACGCCGAAAAAAATATATATATATAGAAGGCTGTAATTTTCAAATAAAAAGTTTATCTTATCGTGTAGTACGACAGAGAAGTCAACAAAATCCTATTGTTGACTGTTTTTCGCATGTAAGGATGCAAACAAAATTCGAACTCACATTTATTTTGAAACGAAATCACTTAATTTATCAACTAATTAAATTGGTTAATTCGCATCTACTAATATGGTTCCAAAATTACTATCTAATTCCTCTTCTGATTTTTTCCATATTTATTATAGGAGTCCAATTTTTCTATCTTATAGAATAAAATTGTTACTATAGTTACAATGACTTCAAGTTACTGCATTAAGAGAAATATTTGATAACTTGTTTAAATTTTAATAATTTTACATTATTTAATTATTATATAATGAAAAAAATTATTTTTTATCATATAGCTCATGACCCTTGAACCTTCTGATATTGCCGAACGAATATTCGCATGACAATTTAATTCGCACTTGAA